GGAGAGAAGGGAGTTGACGGCCAAGGGAAGGGAAGGGGGGAGCAGAAGCTTCTGGGAATTGTAGTCTTCGATAAGCTACTCCCCTCCCCTGAACAGGCGAGACAGTCACGTTGGGAAAACCGACGGGGGCATGTCAGGCTGAGCAGACGTTGTTGCTCAGAATGGAAAGTGACCCCTGGAATAGAAACCCAAACCTTGCTTCGGAGGAGCCGGAGGGGGGGGAGGCCAGAGGGGGGAGATCGAGTGTGGGGGGAGGATACGGGGGAGGAACCAGCAGGATGGGGGGGGGGATTACCTTCTCCTGCTGCTTCCTCCTGCGCCTCCTGAGTTCGGAGCTCAGTTTGGAGCTCCGCCTCCCCCCCGCGAGTATCGCGGGCCACCCCTTGTGTGTGTGTGTGTGTGTGTGTGTGTATATATATATATATAATCTTAAATGTGAGGAACAAAAGACTTAACTCCTCCAAATCTCTACACAACTTGAAGAATTCACCCACAAGAGAGGACAGACTGGGGTATATATAACATATGGTCTGATACTAATTCATTTACAGGTTTTACCCAACTTTTAAGTAAAAACAATGGGCTCCATAAATGGCGTATTGATTTTAAACTCTAATTTAAAATCTGATGTTGAAAAGGTGCTTGAACCATGGTTTGAGATTGGAAGCATTACACCTGTTCCAGGCAAGAATGCGTTAAAAATCAAGACAAACAGATTAATATTCATCTTCTTTGGTTGTCTAAAGGCTAATAGGGAAAGGATAAATGGCCTCTTGGCCATGCGTAAAGGCTTCTGTCTATGCACACACCAGGCCAGATGTTCCCCAGATTTTCAGAAGCGTCTTTTTGGGTGCGATGGTGTGGCTGTTTCAGAAAGAGTCCTCAGAAATCTTTGGATCCTGTCCAGGGGCTGCAATGCAAATCAGTCTCTTTACAGGTGTAGAAGCTTTTGCCCTTTCTGTGGGCCCTGTCATGCCCATGATAAGCATTCTATTGATTTCAGAGGAAGAATTTTTAGCATGTCTGTCTTAGTGGAATCAACATAACACAAATGCATTTTGTAGAGAGCCTGCACAGTGTAGTGATTCAGCCTAGGAGTTGGGAGACCCAGGTTTGAATCCCCACTCTGCTGACGAACCTCACTGGGTGTCCTAGGGCCACTTAGCCAGACTTTCATCACAGAGCTAATGTAATGTGGATCAAATAAAAGTAAGGAGACCAGTGTCCAAAGGCACTTTGGGTGTTTGGGGTGGTGGTGGAAAGCAGGGAATAAATAAAAGTACTTAAACCTGTCTGAAACACATCCTAACAGCACTCTTCCCCCTCTCTGCCCCTGGTGTTCCATAGCAAACCTCTTTTGAAACTTTGATTTGAACAAACAGTTTGTAATAAAGTCTTATTCGAGAAAAGAAAAATTTCCACATGGACTTAAAGAACTAGATCCATTGGAAGTGTGTTCTACAGGAAATGTTCTACAGAAGTCTGGGCAAAATTGGGACTCTGCCACCACTTTAGATGGTAAATAAATCATGTTATTATACTCTGTTATATAGTTGTTTAAAAACTACCTTGTACATAATCGATTGGGAGAAATATTTTAGTCTATTCCCTTGGCCATGCAAGCAGGATTTTTCTTTTTAAAAATGTTGAAACACTCAGAAATGTAATCCTCATGTACAGTCCAGATGCATTCTATCTTATGAGCATGTATATGAGCTCTCCTAAAGATGAGAGGATTTCACAGTTATTGTACAACATTCACACTTAAACAAACATGCTACCCTTGATCAGTTTGTTTTTAGTGCGATAGTAAACATGAGAATGAGAGGACATATTTTTGCAACCTAATGAATACATTTGCTGTCCTACCTTTTCACATGCCCCCATCCTCTCTTTTTCTAGGAGTTTCCTGGTCTCCCTTTCCCAGTAGGCCATCAGTGCTTCCCGGCTAAAAGTTCCAGTTGGAGTTTTCTCTGTGAGGCTTTTTTGCCTCTGGCCCACTGGAAGGTTCCGGTCAGGCTCAATGTCCTCAAACTCCCTCTCCAGCTCCTTCAGCTCCTCATCAGTTAGAGAAGCAAGGAGTTCATCTTCATCTAGGTCTTCATATTTACTAAGCTCTCGCCTATAGCCAAAGCTAGACATGGTCCCTTGTTTTGTCAGACCAAGATACAGCTGAAATAAAAAGGCAGCATTCACAAAAGCTGAACCAAGGAGTCTCTGTCTGGTTTGGTCAGCAACTGTTTCCCTGTGTCTCTGCGGCACCCTTTAAAAAGTATTCCTAGGGGGTTGCGACAATGTACGGAAGGATGAAAGCATGCTCTGTTTTAAGCATCAGACGTCAGCAAGACAGTTGAACAGAAAGAATGTCCCGACACCAGTGTCTGTACGTCTCTTAAACACAAGGATTACTGCCCTACTGGCCATGACCATATTTAGCATAGCCTGACATGAGGAAAATGTATACTTCTCTATGCATTTAGCGGACAGGAAATCAAGCAGCTATGCTCCCCAAGATCTTGTCTTTACCAACCAATAGAAAGCAATCAAAAAGCATTTCATTTCGGTAGGGTTTGTGTCATTCTAAAGGGGGAGGGGGAGACAGAGGCTTCCCCAGCTGTTCAGAGAACTGTCCCTCCGTTTAATGGATACTGAGAGGGGAATGGTGGGAGAGGGGCTGTCATTTCATACGGCTAAAGCGTTGTTATGTTTAGAAATGTAACATGGCTGGGATGATTGCCATTCCCCAAAAGGTTCCTGAATAGACCCACTCAGGTGATGTCAGCTGCAGTGTTCCCTCTAAGCTGAGTTAGTGTGAGCTAGCTCACAGTTTTTTAGCCTCCGGCTCACACATTTCTGTCTTTGCTCCGGAAGGACGGCTCCGGAGCAAACTAATTTATGCAGTAGCCAAATCGCTCACTCACAACTTTACTGCCAGTAGCTCACCAAGTAGAATTTTTGCTCACAGGACTCCATAGCTTAGAGGGAACATTGGTCAGCTGTGTGTTAAATAATTGTACACAGAGGCTAATTACAGAACCCAGTCTTTAAAAGAAAATGTGAGCTCAGCCGCAGTAGTAATTTCCTAAATATTTTGAACCTTGATATCCTTCCTTTGAACACAATGGGATTTGTCATGGCGCACGTGGGGCATTGAAACCTGAGGAGCTGCAATCAACAGCAACCATTTATCAGGACTGACAAAAATGTAATTTATTATGTATTTGTTAAAATATATATTTGTCACATTTCAATGTGGCTCAGCACGATTTTCAAAAACAGTACTAACCATGCACTGAACAGCTCAATAAAAAGCCTACACAGTAAGTACCAAGGTATACACTTACTATGTTATGCTACTTAGCACTAATGAAATATAGTAATTTTTTCTCTCATTAGTCACAGTTTTTTTATCATCTCCCCTCCCATTAGAGATGTGAAGGCCCAGTGAAAAAATAGAATAGTTCAGGGAAAACAACTTCTTTTTCCTGAAAGCTCTTAATGGAAAACTGAAGGGTTTTGTGGAGCATACAACTCCTATGAAATACTTTTCTTTGAAACGAGTGAAATGCCTTTTAATACAAGGTTTTATTCTCTCAAAATAGATAGCATGAAAACATTTGAGGATTTAAAAAATTTATGATGGAAAATTTGAGAAATTTTGTGGAGCACTAAAAACTCCTATGACACTTTTTTTCTTTTTAAAATAAATGAAACAAATAGCATAGGGTGCAGCAATTTGCAGCTCTTTTACATTATTAACTGGTGTATTTGCAGTTTGATTGTAGAAAACTAAGGCATTTATACTTTTAAATTCCACAACTGTGCCAATGTATACAATTTTATATGCTTGAGGCCTAACCCCTTGCAGTATGCGTTATGTGTTTATGTTTTGGGCCCAGGATTTTCTATTGTCAATTTAATTTGTTTTTATTGCATTTTAATTATTTAAAATTGTAATATCTGTTAATGCTTGTATTTTATGTTCCTCTGATTCATTTTTCCTTCTGATTGTAACAGACTTGCAATATGCAATAAACTTCTTTGATCAAAGATCTGGAAGTGCGCCATCTAAGGTGTTGTTTGTATGCATTTTAGTAGAAACTGTTAATTTATGTTTTAAAGTATTTTGTCTATGATATTTATAGAGTTTTAATGTCTTTGTATGTCATTAGGTACATTGTACCGCAGTGTTAGCCACCCTGAGCCCGTTCGTGGGATGGGCGGGATATAAATATAATTAATAAAATAAAATAAATAAATAAAGTTATAATGAATTATGCCTTCTATGTTGCTAAAGCTGCAATACATGTTTAGGCTTGATAGGAAAGCATCTCACCTTATATATAATTGTGTTTTGGGGGTGGCACTCTCTAGAACATTCCACATGCTCCCAAATCAGTTGGCTCAATGATCTATCACCCAGAATATGTCCCTATCCACTGACTGTTGCCTGAGTCTTGCCCACAGAAGCAGCATCCGCAAAAATTTACCTCAGAGTGTGCCTGGCTTCCTCAGAACATGGACACTCCGGCCCTGCTGCTGCATCCAGCCCCCTCAGAAGACAGAGACTCCGGCCCTGATGCTTCGCTCTGTCGCTGCACCTGGCCCGGCCTTGGCCTGCCATGAAGCCAATGCCTGTGGGCAGTGCATGCTGCTGCCTACCCCTGTCCACAGCCCACTGCTCCTTTGGGAAGAGAAGCCATGCTTGACCCGCCCTTCTCCAGACCTGCCAATGCTCCAGGTTGCCACTGCCAGTGCCGAGAGGCCTACCAGGGACAAGCACCTGCTGGGTGGGTGGGAGGCGGGGAGCCACAGTGCTCTAATGAAGGAGGGGGAGGAGGGGGTTACTGGACAGGGGGTGGCACACCTGCTGCTGCTACCGCCACCACCACCAAAGTTTTCACCCACCAAGCACCCGCTGTGAGAAGCAGCCGTCCGGTCATGCCCGGTGCCTGGAGTCTGGCAGCGGGGGGAGCTGTGGCAGAGGGAGCATGATCCGGTCAGCCCTCCCTTCTCTCTCTCTCTCCCCCACATCTAAGACAGAGGCGTTGGCAGTCTTTCCCACCTCTCCCCCACCAAAAGGTGTCTGTGTGTCTTGGGCACAGAATATGAAACCATTCCCATCTGTTACGCCACTGAAGGCTGGGGGGGGGGGGTGAGGGGGAAGAAGTTAAAATAGAAATTTTCTAAGCATGGGGCAAATCCAGAGGCTTTTCTCTCTCCCCCTTCTCGTTCCCCCCACCAGGTGCATTGCAAGGCTCCGCCAACCTCCGATTTCCACCCTCCTCCCCCCCCAAGCAGACAGGCAGCGGCAGCCTCTGCCAAGATCCTACAACTTTGCAGCGAAGTGCCCTCTTTCCCCTCCCTCTGGCCTCCCCCATGTGCCCCCACCGCTTCCCCCCTGCACTCTCCCTTTCACTGTCAACATTCCCAATGCCCCCAACGCCCCCAACCTTTCAAAGACTCTACAAAGCATATATATATATATATGCGCATATATAAAAATGAGGTGGGGGAAACAAAAGGGGAGGGACAAGAAATTCTGGCACACTCCCCCCTTTCTCTCTTAACCTGCTTCCAGCCAATGCATTCCCTATACCGCACATCTTTCTAGAGCTTCCCTACACATCACATCTTTCTAGAACTCGCTGTATTGCTTTTACAACGAGCTTTACTGCTAGTTACATATAATTCTAAAATCCCTCCATTACCATTTTTAAAAACTCAAAAAAGGAAAACAAATTTTATGGCCCTGAAATTTCTGGTAATTTTACATATCTGCTCCAGTATCTAGGAGCACAAAGAATTTGTGCCTACTCTGGTATATCTTATCTTTCTGCAAAATATCCTTCAAATGTCCTAATATATTCAGCCAAGTGAATGTAGACTTTTTTTGGGGGGGGGGGGTTTCCAGCCGAACTGCAAACAGCAATTTGCACTATATTGCATAGTTAGAAAAGAATACATTGAAGCATCTGGCCAAACAGCCACAAATGGGTCAATGAGCTATCGAACTGATCATTGAAAAATCAGCTCCATGTTTATGACCAGTGAACAGGACATGAACTGAACTGGCAGATGTCTAAGCATCCCTAAATATGGGAGAATTAAGTTTAAGAGCTTCATGTTATGGGGTCATTTGATGTCACTATTTCTTGCAATTACAGGGTGTTCAGGGCTAAATCTGAGAAAAATCCTGTATCATGTTGCAGCAAAAAAAATTATGTATATTTATGCTCATGGGTTTATACATATATAATTCTCTGGTGGGCTATGACTTAAGTATATTTTTTCTGCCCCATACTGAATGCCAGTCTTTGAAAACTGGTGGCAGCCTTTTTGACTAGGATCCAAACTCGTCCTTGCTTCTGAACTCCAACTCATCTTTCATCTTTGCACAACCAAATGTGATGTGAGAATCCAAGTTCTCAAAGTGTGCTGGGGCCTGATTCTGCTTCGAACTGTAATACAGAGAAAAAAGGGACTTCTGCCTTCTTCCCCAATTTGATTTGTGCATGAAAACTAAATAGGCAGCCAGTGAAATCAATTGGGAGGCTGGTCCTTTTGTTGGAGAATTGCATAGAAAATGGCTAGTCCAAAATGTTAAGAACATGATACCATTTGTTTTGTTCTTGGACAGATGGTGTTCTTGGAGTTGCTGTTTGCATAATGGATGAATTGGGATAGCTACTCATTACAATGTCTAGAATATGCTTTCACTTTTCAGTTAAAATAATTTTCCTCCAGTGTGTTATTCAGAGCACTTTCGCTCTGAACCTACATTTGAGAAACTACCATCAAGGTATAATTTTTCTAAACAAGGTTTTTTTACTTGGACTCTCTTATGTGTCTCAATTAGGCTTGCCAGCCCCCAGGTCCAAGAGGGGGAATCCCCCAATTTCAGAGGATTTACCTGGCCGTGGACCAGCTGGCTGATGGGGGAAACCCTGCCCCTAAACAGGGATGTCACTGTGCAATGTCCCCAACACAATGACATCACCTGGAAGTGACATCATCATGTTGGGGACGTCATGCAGGGATGCTCTGGTAGTTGGGCAAAATCTAGGGTTTGGGGTGAAAAAAACCATAGAGTTTTACCCAGATACCAGAGCATCGTCATGCAACATCCATGCCCACCCCCGGATGGCCCCCAAATCCCCCCACTGGAGTGAAAAGGGGACCTGGCAACCCTACTCTCAATAGGAGCTGCATTTCTGTAGGTAACAACACAGCCATTACAAAAATTA